CGTCTCTGAACTGATTCTGATCAAAAAGAGATGATTTTGTCATTTAAATTGTATGCTCCTTCAAATTTGACATTCAGTTTTTCGTTTTTTGAATTTTGAAAATTTTGCAATGAGGCCTAAAAAAAATAATGTTGTATTGCTCTTTGCGACCGACCTAAAAATCTTTAAATCTACAGTCGGCAAAAAAAAATGTTAAATGAATATATATATATATATAAATACGTATTCAAGCATTCAAAACTGAGAAATATCAGCCCAAAGAGGGAGAAAAGAAAAGAAGAAAAAAAAAGGGGGAAAAAAGAAATTTCCGACCGACCGACCCATGTTTTGGCACCTAAAGGGCAATACAACATCTTTTTTGTTTAGGCCTGATAGAGACTAGCCTTTAAACAAGGCCACATGTCTGAAATACGCCGAGCGACTACAAATAGACTAATCGCGAAAACCTGAGTGAACGCCTGTGCGAGAATCACAGCCAAGTACTCGGTCGCGCGTTCACCCCGGGTGCGTTATTTTTTTATGCGGCACAGATTGGGGCATGGCGCGTGTTGAGCCTATGGGAAGTACGTTCTTTCCCTTCTGAATAGTGTCTGCACGTACGTGAGACTAGTCGTGTTCGCTAGCGCATTAGCGCTGCAAAGAAGTTTGAATATCCATCGCGAACTATGTGTTTAGATAACATTCCTCTTCGTTTAAGTTAGTTAAGTTTTATTGACTAATTATTGTGATGTTCTCCTTATTGACGTGCTGCCTCCTCTTCAGATTTCCAATTTCATTTTAATTGTTGATGTAATGATTTTCCATACGGTAGTGGATTACATGTAACACTATTAAAAACAGACCTCTACTACTTATACCTGAATTATACTGTCTAGTACGCACACGACCACTATTAGTCTGTAAATCAAGACCCCTTTTAAAAAAAAGCCCCAATCTGTGCCGCATAAAAAAATAACGCACCCCGGGTATACCGCTTAGCCAGAGTCACGAGGCCTTGTCAAAAGGCTAGATAGAGACTAGCACGTGAACAGTAAACAAATTAATGTGCTTGAATCTTGTAACAACTTTTAAAAGTGTCCGCTGAACAAAGACATTTAAAGGTACTATGTCCCTTTTGCAGCCAACCTCAAATGCTGTAAAACTTTGCAGGTATTATGAATATGTCATGTATGTCCTATCTGTGAAATTTAAACATTAGCAGCGTCCTCATATTCAAATTATGCAAGGAAACCCGTGAACTTGCTAGACTTCACTGTCAGACACTATTGAGTGACTGACTGGCTTTTTTTTCTTCTTTGGTAATAACATACATGAAAAGAGTTGTAAAGGGTACATGAGCATTTGTCTACATCAATAACCCACTTCTTGTGATGGCCAAGATTAAACTGATTGAATCTTTGCGCAGCATAAACGTATTACCATTCGGTACAATTGTCTGAAAATCAAGACTATTACTTTTGCGCTCTATAGCCCTAAAGTCGATTTGACAACTAATAGTCGTTATTTTCCCACTTGAAGACATTTTCAAGCCCCACATTTTTTAGGGAAGTTCTAAATTAGTATTATCTTTCAAATGCAGTTGGAATTTAACTTTTTTATTTTTTTGGCCTGCAAATGGGACATAGTACCTTTAAGTATTGTCAGACAGTGCACACACCATTCAATGTACAGTATGTTGGGACAGACATTCTCTCTCCCTCTTCTATATCTTTTTTCGACCACTCCCCCCCCCCCCCCCCCCTCTCTCTCTCTCTCTCTCTGCACCATCTCGCCCTCTCTCTCCCTCTCTCTCCCTCTGCACCATCTCGCCCTCTCCCTCTTCCTCTCCACCATCTCGCCCTCTCTCTCTCTCTCTCTCTCTCTCTCTCTCTCTCGCTCTCTCTCTCTTCCTCTCCACCATATCTCCCTCTCCCTCTTTACCATCTCTCTCTCCCCCTTTCTCTCTCTCTCTCTCTCTCTCCACCAATTCACCTTCTACCCCTTTCCACCATTCTGTCTCTCTCCCTCCCCACCATCTCTCTTTCTACCCCTCTCCACCATCTCTCCCTTACTCTCTCTCTCTCTCTCTCTCTCTTGCTTTTTCTCTCCCTTTCTCTCCCCCTCTCCACCATCTCTCTCTTACTCTCTCTTTCTCCCTTTCTCTCCCCTCTCCCTCTCCACATCTCTTTTTCTCCCTCTCTACCATCTCTCTTTCTCCCTCTCCACCATCTCTCTCTCTCTCTCTCTCTCTCTTACTCTCTCTCCCTTTCTCTCTCCCCCTCTCCCTCTCCACATCTCTCTGTCTCCCCTCTCCACCATCTCTCTCCTCTTACTCGCTCTCTCTCTCTCTCCCTTTCTCTCCCCTCTCCGTTTCTCTCCCCTCTCCCTCTCTACATCTCTCTTTCTCCCCCTCTCCACCATCTCTCTCTCTCTCCCTCTCTACCATATCTCTCTCTCCCTCTCCACCATCTCTCTCTCTCTCCCTCTCTCTCTCATTCACTCTCTATCTCTCTTTGTCCACCATCTCTCTCCATTTCTCTCTCTCTCTCTCTCTCTCTCCACTGTCTCTCTACCTCCCCTCTCCAACATCTCTCTCTCTTACTCGCTCTCTCTCTCTCTCTCTCCCTTTCTCTCCCCTCTCCGTTTCTCTCCCCCTCTCCCTCTCTACATCTCTCTTTCTCCCCCTCTCCACCATCTCTCTCTCCCTCTCTACCATCTCTCTTTCTCCCTCTCCACCATCTCTCTCTCTCTCTCTCTCTCTCTCACTCCACCATTTCTCTCTCTCCCCCTCTCCACCATCTCTCTCTCTCTCATCATATCATTTTCTATGTTTCACCTTCATTCGCTCTATATCTGATTTCCTCTTCACCATCTTTATTGCCCCCACCCCCTCTTCATCATCTCTTTCTCTCTCTCTCTCTCTCTCTCTCTCTCTCATGCTATGCTAAGAATGGGGGTGATGTAAATGCCATTAACAAACTACAAATTGTCGTCACTATCCCTCCCCCCCCCCCCCCCCCCCCCATGGCTTGGGAAACATTGTTGATTGTATTACTACATTTTCACGGGCTTTCATGCGGATACCTTTGATAGTTATACTCGTTTTTATGTTCATATTTCCGGGTAAAAATAATGTCCTAAATGTTCCTGGCTGTTAGAGGAAAATCCCTCTTACTCCATAACAACCTTCTGTAAATTCGTTTCGAAAAGAAAACAGATTCCTAGTTTTCAGGTTCTCGTATTTCTCATCACTAACTGTCTCATATCTTCAGGTTCTCAAGTTTTCTTCAAGTGCTCACATTAATAGACAAAGAAAGGGAACCAGGGCCCTGTTTCATTAAACTTGTCATCAATTATTAACAAGTTAGAATAACTGTTATGAGCTACTGAAATCGTGGCATGTGATTGAGTGAGAGCAACTTTGTCTTAGAAATTAAGCATTTGTTATTTATAACAAGTTGTATGAAACAGGGGCCAGGTCGGTTTATACTTCGAGAGTGCAATACAACGCTGAGAAACACAGGTACACATTAAATTCACTGTAAGCGATATTATATTCATTTGACTTAGCGTTTTACACTTAAAAGCTGAACTAGTATCATACAACAATGTGAAATTTTGTGTGAAGTATTAGAAATGCTTTTGAAAACAAGCATGTTTGACATGTTCGATGGCGAAAATGTCTATTTACAGAGATCGGTATTTTTGAGGAAATTTTACTGACACCGAGAGATTTAAGACATAATTTCATAAAACAGCAAATGAGACGATGAGAAAAATCCTTAATTTTAACTTGAATTATCACTATAACTCCTCGTGTTATGTTCCAAACCATAGTCTACAGAACAGGTCGTCGTTAAAGAGGTTTCATGGACATGGGTTTTTGATTGTCTTGAAGAGATTTCACATCTCCACAAATACTTACACGTACACTTACCGGCGCACACTACACGATCCGACTGCGATCTGTTTGAAGAAATGGCAATTATATTGGACATCACAAATGTCTCTAAGCGCTTTACAAATATATACAAATGTAAACAAAGAACGTTTTGCTGATTTAAATTGTAAATAATGCTAAGAATACTAACAACAATCAATGTAGTGCCTTTAATTCTTCTAGTCACAATTAATTCCGATTCGGCTCCAAATCGTAGACAATCTTATTACTGGTATGACGTCACTAAGATTCTGAGCCTATTTACCTTTTCCTCCGTCAAAAGTTAGATTATATTAATAACATGAATAAACATGTTGGAATGTTCATATAAAATGCTGTTGTTAATTATTCCAAAATCGGGTCGCAGTCAGATCGTGTTGTGTGCGCTTAGCCTTAGGAATCAGTAAGTAGAAGCCTTTAAATGATAATTCACTTATTCAGCAAACATCAAATAATACAATTGCAGTCATGGTGATTGAAATCCTAATATTGAAAGAAGAAGGAAACTGCCGATACAAGTAATATACAGATTTGTATTCAAGCATGTCATAAAGCCATCATTCTTCGAGGATACACGTTAAGTCTATGATTGCCAATTATGTTACCGATTTTCTAACAGATTTTAACTTCAATGTATACCTTTAAAAGAATCAGGAACAACAACATCAGCAACAACAATGTTAATGATGATGATGATGATGATGGTAATAATAATATTAATGACAATGATAATATTAATGATAACGATGACAATACAACTGATGATAGTGAAAACGAATATTATGAAGACAATAATTATGGTGATAATAGTATAAAAGTGACAATATGAGTAACGCGATTATACAACTACTAATACTACTATAACTTCAACTACTACTTCTACTACTACTACTACTAATTATGTTGCGGTTGCTACTACAACTACTACTACTACTACTACTACTACTACTACTACTACTACTACTACTACTACTACTAACACTACTACTACTACTACTACTACTACTACTACTAACACTTTCATTACTGATAACCATCACACGTATCTCTATATTCCTACATGACTGCTACTTGTTTGGGATCAAGACATTGTCTTTAGATTAATGGTCAGATTTGTGGTCAATTTATCCCAGAAATAATGTTGTCCTCTCACGTCCTCAGTCCAGTGGATATAGGGCCTGTCATCACTGAGGTACAATCTCGCCAAGAATGGCATTTCATCATCTGGGATGTCTTCGAGGAAAACCACGACTACGAATTCCGTCAGAGTGTCACTCACGTGGTCCATGGCCGTACGGAACTTTAGTATGAACCAGTGGTCTTGCACAGCAGCTCTGCTAAGCACTACGATGGTCTTGTAACTATGGCTCACCACGTAATGGACGGAATCTAAGTAATGCATACCCAACACAAGGTCTTGGTCACCATAGACGTTCCTCTGAAACTGTGGAAGCCGTTCTTCGAGAGCTGGTCGAAGCTGTTCGCGAATCCATTCTTCGTCATCTTCGTCATCGTCGTAGAAAACGATGTTCACGTCAAACTCGTAGTCATTGTGGTCTCGAGCGTCTCGCATCTCTTTAAATCCCAGTACGGCAAGTTTCAAGAGATAGAGTTTGTACCTCAACTGCCATCGGTAGTGAAACAGCAGGACACTGATTACAACCAAGCTAATGGAGACGAGGGGAATCAGAGAGAATAGACTATTGTTTATTATACAGAGTTCATTTGGATCAAAATCGAGCAGGGGTTTCTCACGAAGAGGCTCCAGAGATGCTGACGAACAGATAGTTTCGTTCTTGTTTTTCAGGCGTATAGGTTCATTTAACCAATCAATAAGCCACTCCATTTCACAGTTACAATCAATTGGGTTCGTTGATAGATCAATTAATAAAATGGAGGAAAAGATCGGCTTGAAAGTGCTTTGATTAAGGCGCGTTAATCTGTTGTTGGCCAAGGAAAGATTTGTGAGCTTCCAATTATTTGAGAACATTAACTCCTCCAAGTACGCGATACGATTTCCTTCCAAGTTGATACTTTCTATTTGACCCAACCCCGACAATACATCATCATGAATATGCTGGATGTTGTTTCCTTTCAAACTCAACGTCTCAAGCGATTCCAACCCCGAGAAGACAAGAGGATGTAGATTTGTAATATCGCAGTAGTCTAGATTAAGTTCTTGTAAAACAGAGAGTTGACGGAACATCCCTGGCGGTAAATCACTACTAAAACACAGGAAAGGGTTATAACTCAAGTCCAAATGATTAAGATCCAATAATCCATCGAAAAGAGATTCGTTTGCAGCTGCATTCCATAGGTATCTCTGGCCAAGGTAAGAGTTTTTCATGTTTAAATTAACAAGGGATTGTAAATGTTGAAACCATTTTCCTGGTCGCAAAGGAAGCCCGGTTTGATAAAGAGAGTTTAGGAAAAGTGATGTTAATATTGGGGCGTTCAATTCCAGAACAGTTAGTTGACTTCCTTCCAAATCAATGGTTTGAATATTGTCAAGTCCCGAAAAGGCCGTCAGCTCAAAGACAGAAAGGAGTTCGTTCCGGCTCATGTCTAAGAAAGTTAAATTTCTTAAACCGCGAAATACAGATTCAGATATTTCTCTAAACAGATTACCGGATAAGTCAAACTCCGACAAGTCTACTGTCCAAATCTGATTGTGAGGATTTATTTGTCTTACTTTGTTGTCGTTGATTGCCAGTACTTTTAATGCATTCATGCCGTCGAAAAAATCTGGTTGAATTTCGTCTATGGGGAGTTTGTTATCACTGAAACTGAATTCTCTGAGTTTTGTCAAATTTGAGAAGACTAAAGGATGGAGGCTATTCACTTTGTTGTCGTTGAAGTTCAGAACAGAGAGAGAAGAATAGCGAAGGGGATCAAAGAAACCTTTAGGAAACGCACCAACAGAACCTTTCAGGATCGTAAGCTCTTCAATGTCTGATTTTGAAATTCCGAGGACGATGTTCGCCAACACCTCATCACTCAAAGGGTAGCCACCTAGCACCAAAGAGCGAACATGTAGTGATGCGATCACTTGAGGGTCTACTGATTTGATATGGTTTTGTCTCAGATCTAGAGTATCAGTGTGGCACACAAAGGTGAAATCTCTGACCGTAAGGTGTTTTAGTCGATTACCACGCATGCTCACAGTGTCGGCCATGCCACATGAACTTATATTGATGAAGGAGAGCCGGTTGTCGAACAGATATAAAGTATCTATATTTGGACTCCATTCTAGAGTGTCATTGGGGAGCGACTTCAAGTTTGATGACCTTAAATCGAGAATGGAAAGCTTTAAAGACTTCATAAAGACGCCTGCTGCTGGAAGCGCAAGACGTGAGTTAAAGGATAAAGACAGGTACATTAAGCCCTTGAGGGGGTAAAAAGCGGCGGATTCTATCGCTCTTACATCGTTAAAAGAAATGTTCAAGGAGTTGATTAGAGGGTATATTTCAAACGAGGAGTTCAAGAGTTTGGTGATATTGTTCTTAGACAAGTCTAACACCTCGGTATCCTCAGAAATGTCCAGGGGAACCGTGTTTAGGTCTTTATTGCGGCAAGAAGCTGTTTTCAGTTCAATGTTCTGATCGCATCCATGGAAAGATTTGTTCATGTCCAGTGTCAAGGATGTCATCGCCGAATCTCCATCGTGTCGATATACAGATTGAAAGGACGAGCTGACGAGGAGACAAGCGACGAGCAATGGGTACAAGAGTGAGCCGTTTGCCATGACGTCAGTAGGGGGTTTTCGTTTGTCACGTTGACATAGTCGACGTCTAATATGTGACGTCATTTCCGCGATCTGCGCATGCGTCGGGTCGTCTGGCGTCGTCAGGCAAAATTTGCGAACCCGTTCATCGATGATTTGAGGTTCGTCAGAAAACTAGTGACCCGTCGTCAGAATGACGTCATCTTGCTACATCACAGCGTAAATCAGAAAGTAAAAACAGAAAGAGAAATTGATAGAATGATTAAAAAACAAAGAATAACATAAGGAAAGACAGAAAAAAAGTGTGATAGAATGATAAAAACAAAGAATAACATAAGAGAAGATGATAGAAGGAAAAAAAAAAAAGGCTAACATAAGGGAAGACAGAAAGAGAAGGTGAAAGAAGGGAAAAAACAAAGAATAACATAAGGAAAGACTGAAGAGAAAGTGTAAGAAGGAAAAAACAAAGAATAACATAAGGAAAGGCAGAAAGAGAAGGTGAAAGAAGGAAAAAACAAAAAATGACATAAGGAAAGACAGAAAGAGAAGGTAAAAGAAGGAAAAAACAAAGAATAACATAAGGAAAGACAGAAAGAGAAGGTGAAAGAAGGAAAAAAACAAAGAATAACATAAGGAAAGACAGAAAAAGAAGGGAAAAACAAAGAATAACATAAGGAAAGACAGAAAGAGAAAGTGAAGGAAGGAAAAAACAAAGAATAACATAAGGAAAGACAGAAAGAAAAGGTGAAAGAAGGAAAAAACAAAGAATAACATAAGGAAAGACAGAAAGAGAAGGTGACAGAAGGAAAAAACAAAGAATAACATAAGGAAAGACAGAAAAAGAAGGTGAAAGAAGGGAAAAACAAAGAATAACATAAGGAAAGACAGAAAGAGAAAGTGAAGGAAGGAAAAAACAAAGAATAACATAAGGAAAGACAGAAAGAAAAGGTGAAAGAAGGAAAAAACAAAGAATAACATAAAGAAAGACAGAAAGAGAAGGTGACAGAAGGAAAAAACAAAGAATAACATTAGAGAAGATGAAAGAAGGAAGAAACGAAAAATAATATAAGGAAAGACAGAAAGAGAAGATGAAAGAAGGAAAAAACAAAGAATAACATAAGGAAAGACAGAAAGAGAAGGTGAAAGAAGGAAAAAAACATAGAATAATATAAGGAAAGACAGAAAGAGAAGGTGAAAGAAGGAAAAAAACAAAGAATAACATAAGGAATGACAGAAAGAGAAGGTGAAAGAAGGGAAAAAACAAAGAATAACATAAGGAAAGACTGAAGAGGAAGTGAAAGAAGGAAAAAACAAAGAATAACATAAGGAAAGACAGAAAGAGAAGGTGAAAGAAGGAAAAACAAAGAATAACATAAGGAAAGACAGAAAGAGAAGGTGAAAGAAGGAAAAAACAAAGAATAACATAAGGAAAGACTGAAGGGAAAGTGAAAGAAGGAAAAAACAAAGAATAACATAAGGAAAGACAGAAAGAGAAGGTGAAAGAAGGAAAAATCAAAGAATAACGTAAGGAAATACAAAAAGAGAAAGTGATAGAATGATAAAAACAAAGAATAACTTAAGAGAAGATGATAGAAGGAAGAAACAAAGAATAATATGAGGAAAGATAGAAAGAAAAATGATAGAATGATAACAACAACAATAACATTAGGAAAGACAGAAAGAGAAAATGATAAAGAATAGACAATGGAAAGATAGAAGAGAAGATGGAAGAAGGAAAAACAAAGAAAATCATAAGAAAAATAGAGAGAGTATAATAGAATAATAAACGAAGAACAAAATAAGAAGTGAAAGAAGGAGAAAATGAATAAGCGCGTGCGGGCCATTACGTCATCGTGTAGAGAACGTGTGTCAACTTAAAACGAAAAGGGTTATAAGGTAGTGAACAGGACGGGTGTCTGACGTCAATTTGCATCGTTAGAGGACGTGAACGCCGTCCTCGTCCACACAAACGAAAAGCCCCTAATATATCACCTCTGAAAATGGAAAGGAACACCTTTGCCTGATGATAATATATCGCTTCTGAATACATGCTCACACAAGCTCATAGAAGCATAAACAAATTGTTCTCTTTTGCTGCAGACGTCAGTCTCATTTTGAGCTGTGAAAAGGCGCTCGGATATTTGTTAACTTAAATAATTGTGGTTATCATATTCTACATTATTTTGTAATTAAAACTAAAATATAAATTCGGGAAACAATTATGAATGTTTTCTGACGAAACTAAAAGTCATATTGCATTATCTGTATAAACAAATTTCAACATTTACAAGTAATAAAATCCCACGCAAAATGATATGAGATATTTTAACGGTTGTGTATTAAAGAACACAAAGGGAAATATTTGATATCAAATGGAAGTTAACACCGACATTAAATATAATTGGCCTACTAGTCGGCAATTAAAACCTGAAACTCTTTATACAGATATCGTACAGAAATATCAATGTCATTACATGCTCTTTCTGTTTCCAGTTAGGCCTATGAGATAAGAATTAGCAAAATTATGTGATAGAACGGACAAAATTTCTAAAGTAGGCGTTCTCGTTTGACGCTCGTATGACCTATCTGATCATGCTGATGAAGATGAATAAATGATAAAGTTGTGAGAAAGTTGTGATATGGTGGGGAATTATCGAAAAATAAACTGTAATAACTATCGCTAGCCTATCCATCCTCGCCCCCCCCCCCCCCAAAAAAAAAGAAAAAGTTCAGGCTTTATTCATGGCAATTAGTTTAAAGCGGCAATGATAATAATTAACAGGAAATCATAACGCAAGAATTCACTCCATATTAATTAAAAAAAGCTAGGCCATTTCGTGCACGATAAGTATACCTATCGTAGACTATTATAGTTTATAGTATTGCCCACATATTGAGAAGCTGCTACGATACTGTAACAGTTACACAAGTTATCCTGCTGATGCAAATTATTGATCTGCCAAAAATGAAGTTTAATTGAGTTATATTTATCACAGAAATTAATCATAAAACAATTGATGTAAAACATCATGAGGACAGAGCTGAGACGTAATTAGAAGGTTTCTGATGGCAAGGCCGAAATGACGTCATCTTGAAAATTAGAATTTTAAAAGGATTACGCTGCCCAACAAGTGCGTGCTTGGTAGTTATAAGACGGGTTCTAGAATCTAAGCAATCCGATTGGTCAACTGACATCACGTGGGCGTGCATTTATTTTCCCCACCGTGCAAAACATCTCCCATCAAAAATTGGTAACCCTTGCTCGATATCTGCCATTATCGCTTTCGCGTAATTCATTCTTTTACTTTTGTAGAGTAGCCTAATGTATCTAGATCTAACGTTAGAATATTCTAGGCCTAGATCTAGATCATTATTTGCATACTAACACCTGCGCTCTCAGCTTGTAGTAGTGTGATCGTGGATCAAGCGTCTTCGCTAAAGCTACAGACTGCGAGGGACGTGCTCTTATAGGCTGTACTGATCACGTGGTTGAGCACCGGGCACCAATGATACGCGAGCTACGATACGCCGTGGTTTACAATGTTAAATGTAAGTCATTCACAGACTAAGACTCGGTGTGAGAGCTGAATGACGATGAAGGAAATTAAAGGTAAATACCAGTATTGGAAACGCCCCAATTTCAAAAAATGAAATGGAAGCTCTTATTACCAATCATGTGAAAGAATATGTTTTGAATATTACATGATGATAACAATTTTGACGGGAAACCGCCTACTAATTGATATATTTGGTAAATTAGTGTATCTCTCGCCTGTTGAGAGATATGAAATGCACGTGTCTCGCACGTGTGTGTAGTCCCATATACATCTTTCTGTATACAGTGCTTCTAACTTTATGAAGACTTGGCCAAATTTATTATCATTTTGATGATTCCAGAACCTTGCAGTACATCTATGCTAGATGATCAACCTTTTCTGATCGATTTCACACCGTTTCTTTCACAATGCAATCGCATGACCATAACTAGTCTTTAGCTTTAATAGGTACAGCTTAAAGATAATTCATCCCACGAAAACTCAAGGCGCCTATGAAGTACATGCACTGTTATAATTGTATTATATTGAATTGAATCGTATTGTATTGTAATGATGATGATGATTGTAATGATAATGATAATAATTATAATCATAATGAAAAAAACAATAATGATAATAAACGAGATTTGTAAGTCGCCAATTAAAAACAAATTGTATTGTATTGTCTTGTATTGCATTGTATATTTTATGGATTAGTTCATTGATAGAAAAATCATTAACAATGCAGTTATAAGTATCATCATATGCATCGTTATCGTCATCATCATCATCGTCGTAAACTTCATCATCCTCAAATCATCCTCATCTTATAGTCATAACCATCACTACATTAATCATCATCATCATTTTCTTTATAAGCACTATCATTACTTTTATCTGATCATCATCATCACCATCAACATCATAATCACATACAGTTTTCTAACAATTTCTAGGGCTTGCACAAAATAAGACCACATACAACAATGACTTCAATTTTCCATGGCTTTTCAAAATTCTTATTTTC